CGTGGCTGCGAACACACACAGTTACTGCAGCACAGCTTCTGAAAACCACGGCAGCCGCTGCACCAAACACCTGACTGAGCAAAACCAGCTCTGCTATGAGCTCCTACCGGTTGCTTGTGTGGTATCAGTCTCTTTTGAATTGAGTTTTTCCTAAATGCTAACACAAAAGCACTGAATACATTCCTTTTCTCTATTCATTTACTGTTAGATCACAAGCAAGTGAACATCTTTTGCAGCTATTAAAAAAAAAATTAAACTATGGCAGAAACCAAACATCCTGATCAATCCTTGACTGAAATATTTCTTCAACATCTCATGTATGCACATCTGTTATCCACAGCTGTGGAGGGTGCAGAGCAGGGCACTGTCTCACCAGGGCAAGGCCCAGCCTGCCCCTTCCGCAGACACATGCACCCCAAAATGTCTCGAGCAAAAATCTTTGCTGTCTCTCACAGTCCCCAAGCATGGTTCCTACATGTGTGAAACACCTTCCTTTACATTCCAAACTATGTGGGTTGAAGTAAAATGATTTGTACAAAACCATTCTGAAACAGCTCATTGCTAACAAACAACAAAACACAGAGGCCTCTCAGCTCACCCCAGTTATCATATGTATGCATACAGATAATTCTACAGGTTAAGATCATATCATCACATGAACTGTTGTTATGTTTACAATCCAATTTCATTATCGACACAGAATGCAAAATTATATAGGAATTTGTCATTCAACTGAAAAATTTACCAGCATGTATAGAATATTTTCAAGTACAACACAAAAAATGATGAAAGTCACAGGATAAGTGCTGAGCACTCCAGGGTGTGCAGAAATGCACCTCAGCAAAGCATTAATGGACACCCTCAGGATTAATCAACATATGCAAATTAAACACAAACCCCACACAGCAAACAAAGTGAATCCAAAGGAGCACAATATAAAAGTGTCAGTACACAGCTGCTATACCTTTTTTGTTCCATAGCATTGTCACCTTGTCAGCTTTAAAGAAGCTTTTGTTGGCTAGTGCAGACTGCGGGCCCCCGAAGTTGGGGTACTGGTAGAGCCTGACAAAGGACGGAGCACCTTTGCTGCCTGGGACATAAACAGCAACCTGAAACAGCCACGAGATTTCACTGCAGGTTAAAGCCGTGGTAGCCAGAGCATAGTTAATAAAATAGTTACATTAGTACTAAAATCACAGTGCATTTTTTTAAGAAAACAAAGATTGGAAGCTAGATCAGAAGTACCTTGGTTAGCTGTGCTCCTGGGGACAGCACAAAATCACTGACCTTCTGCAAATGCAGCTTGTTTGCAATGGTATCTGCCAAGAAAAAGGCCCACAGATGTCTGATATTAATGACAAACCATGTTACCTGGATGTCCTAACCACATCCTGCTATGGGGCTGTATCCTGCATAACACAGACCAGTAAAGACAATCACAAAGGATCTCTTTTTCTAGGCAAACAACTATTATTTTCCCATTTCACCTACAAAACCAACTTTAATCAAGCCCATGCCTGAAACTCGGCACTTAGTATTTGGAAGTTCAAAAAGCACAGGAAGCCTCTGTGCCCAAGGTGAATGCAGCCTGTGTTTGAAGCAGGTGTTCTTCACCTTATCTGTGCTGGCTTCAGCCACATTCAGGTGCCATCACACAGAGGCAGGGGCTCTGCCATCAACCTCCATGGGATAGCTCTTCCCAACAGGCTGCTCAGGGCTCAGCACAACTGATGGCAACAGCATCACCCCACAGCTCCACTGCAGCCAGGAATGTGCACTGCCAGCAGACATCCTGCTGAGGCTGACATTCCACGCTTCCCACAGCTTGACTAACATCACCAGGGCTAATTCTCAGGAAACTGAACCTCTTGTAGCCCTAATTCTTCTATCAACTTTGTATTTAAAACAAAACAAAGAATGCAAAACTAAATACAAAACTAAAACCACATGCTGCTGTTCTCCCCTCAGTTTTCTTTTCACTCCTTTACATTTTTGTTCTAATTTGTTTTTATCTTTCTGCTTTTTTCTTCCCCTTTCCCTTTTAAGCACCTATCGACTCCAGATATTCTATCACCAACAGTAAATCTCTGTGGTAAAAATCTTCAGGCCTCACTATTTCATTTTTGCCACCAATTTTTTAATGAGCCATTTTTAGCGATCTATTGACAGAATATGCACAACCCAAGAAGTAATGGCAGATCACATTTTCTACAAAACAATTTCACAGATCTCATTAAAGGAGTAACAATATAGAATAAGGCCTTTTTTACTGAGAATCAGATGCATTTCACATCATGCCAGTCAATGAAAAGATAAATAAGAAAGTGAAATAATGATTCTGAATTCCAAACTGAAATAGAATGTGGGCAGTATTTAAAATAAAAGGCAAGCAAATGAAGAAACAAAGAAAAACCTGAAAACAAAAACCACCCCTCAAAAGAAGCAGCATTTATAGAAGGAATTAAATGTAGAGAAATACTCGCATACTGAAGTTGTTGTTTTCAAAGAAGTGCACCTCATTGTTCACATTTCTGGCACAAATGCTTTCATCCTCTGCCCAGCAAGGACACCTGCACATTAAGGGAAAAGTCAGAAACATGAAATGATGCTCATCATTACCACTCCAGGATTGTTTTTTCCCTCTACTGTGAACCCACAATGTTCAAACATGATACATTTAATGTGGATAAATGACATCTGCATAGCAAAAATATACAAGTGGACTTGTCTGTTCAGCTTTCCTCTGTGGTGCAAAGTGAGAGTGAATTTACAATAAACTAGACACAGACACCCACAGGCACAGACTCTGGCTTTCAGTTAGCAGCAGGCAATGCTTTGAAAGCCAACACCACACTAACAGCTCCATTTACCTGGATCAGATTTTGAAAACCACATTTCTTTGTAAACAATTAGCATCTGGAAGGCTTATTTACCAGTTCTGCATCTTTTTCTGCACAAAAGACTTTAAGCATTTTCCAGTTCTCAGATCATGGAGCTGCAGGTTGGGCACCCCTGCTGTGCCATCCTTAGCAGCTGCAAAAAAACACAGTGGTATTTGAGGCTTAAATCTGCTTCACCCCAGCATCCCACTCATGGTTCTGCATGAACTTCTCGCAAGCATGCAGCTCCTGCCCCTGAGGGACCAAACCCATGAATGCTGATTGCTGCACCTATTAACTTCAGTCTGCTTGCAGAAAGAACTCACATTTGGAGTGCAGGGTTTCTACTCCCCACTGCAAGGCTGCAACCAACACCTGCACAGCTCTTTAATCCAAACCCAAAACCATCCTCAGGGCAAACAACGGAGGCATGATCTCCACTCCAGTGTTTTGCTCTCACAGGAATGAGGTGATTTTGTCCCTTCCACTGTAGTCACTGCTGCTCTCTGCAAGCCATGCAAAACGGTTCTGCTGCTTTTAAGCTGTCTGTACTCTCCTCCTTACCCAGGCTAGCCCAGCCTGCCTGCTGCTGTCAGTGATTCACAGCAGCCCCAGAGCAGCTCACAGCTTGTGATGTTCTCTTACCCTACAGCCTGTCCCAGCTCCCAGTCTCCCCACAGGCTGGCCAGCTCCCAAGGCCCAGCCTTGCCCAGCTCTTCCCTCCCAAGGCAGCATTCACACTGTCTGTGCCTCAGGCAGGACTGCAGCTCTCCAAACCAGGATCTCAAACCGCCCAGGGATGCAGAGCAGGAATAAAGCTCTGGACATGGAGAACGCTCCAGCCATGGCCCACAGGCAGGACACAAGTCTCCAGGACAGCACACCATGTCCCTTGCCTACCCAAGGATCCAACAACAGGAGCTGCCTGCAGGGCACAGGGCACCAGGACCATTTCCCAAAGCTCAGGAAAGACGTGCCTGAGTGACAGAGGGACTGTGAGCACGGGCACTGCTCTGACAGAGCGTGGGTGAGCATGGCCCACACCAGCTGCTCTCAGAGGCATCCCTCCCTCTGCACGGTGCTCCTGACTGCCCACACAACCTCCTGCACCTTCCTGCACTGCTCATTTGGCCAACACACATGGGCTCAAAGCCTCCCAGCTGGCACAAAGCCCCCGCAGCTGGTACAATACTCACTTGCATAGGCCTGCCACGTTGCCAGAACGTTATTCTTTGGCGAGAATTCAAGGCAAACTGTCTTTGGGAGATCAAAGGAATGCAGTAACTCAGCTCTGGTGACATTAAAAACATTGACTCTGGAACGAAAAGACGCTATTTCAATAAAACATGCTTACAATAGTCAATTAATGCTGAGAGAATTGTTCAAGTCTATGACTCTTCTAGATCTGCTCCAAATTTGGCCAATGGAACAAAATTGGAAGAGCTTCCCCTGCCCCCCTTGTTTTTACTAAATTTTTCCAAGACCACATTTTAAAACCAGACACCCAAGCCTGACAGAAACCACTGGTCATAACATAATATGTATTTTTGTATGCAACACATAAGCTCTAAATATGAGAGTGAACTCTATAATGCACCTGACCTATAAAAAAAGAACCTTGTATTGTAATGTTCACAAGGTGAATAGACTCATTATTTTCTGTGGACTCTACTAATAGATTAATCCCAGAGACTAGGGACTGGGAGTCATGAATAAAAAAACAACCAAATAAAAGAGAGCATATCCAGACTGCATGGGAATGGGTGCATCATGGCTGCACCAAGACAAAATATTTCATCTGATAAACTCCATTTCAGGTGTACATGCAAACACTTGCATTAACAGCAATCATCTTTACACAGACAAGAGTAAATGAGGCATAACTGATTACATTTCATACAAGCTAAACATTAAGATAATAAAATGCACCCACTTTTCTCCATTGCACCAGGCAAAGAGGGAGCCATCCTTGCTAAAAGCAACAGCTTTGCAATTTTTTCCAGAATCCCTAAAGAAATGAGAAACATACATAAGTACTCAACAGCGCCATAGTTAAAGTTTTCTCAACAAAAAACAACCCAAGAGCTTTCCTGCTGTGCTCCTGAGGAGCCCTGTGTCTCAGTGCAGCCCCTGCTGCCCCTGCCCAGGGACTGTCACCTGGCAGCAAATGCAAAGCCTTCCGAGCCATCAGTGTTCTGAACTCACTTATACTCACACATTTTTCAATTCCACAGTCTACCCTTACTTTTCAGAAAGCAATTTCTTTAGTGCCAGTGCCAGCAGTACCTTTGGAATGCCACGCTCTCAGTGAAGCTGGGGGGCCCATTCACCATGTACAGCCCCTCGGAGCCTCTCACTGCAGGGGAAACAAACAACTCATTTCAAATGCAGGAAATTGACAAAGCAGGTGATTTTCTAACTTGTGAACCCTGAGCCATGCACAGTGTTTGCAAACTTGCTACAAGGAAATTCCCAGGCACAGCCGGACACGGCCCTGGAGCTGCCATCCGTGTGCAGGATGTGCCCCAAGGTGCGCAGCCACAGCCTCACAGGAGAGCAGCTCTTCTCACGCCCAAGTACAATTGTACGTGGTTCACGCACAGCACAGCCCCCGGAGACCTAAGGGAACCCCTAACACAGCTGAGGTGTGCCCCAGGACCAGCGCAGCCCTGCTGCACCGTGTTCTCCAGCCCTCCCGTCACGCTCCCCGTTAGGATCCAAACTCACAACAGACGGCAGTGAGCAGCCAAAAATCCACTCGAGCAACTGCCGCCCCCACGGGCCCGAGTGCGGGGAAACGGGCTCGTGTTTAAAGCTCACAAATACAGAAAAGGACAATACGCATCCCTTATGTTGGGGGAGTTTAAACAGTGAGCCATGGAAAGG